CAGACCGGGCCTCTGACCTCCTGAATCTGAGTAGCAGACCGGGCCTCTGACCTCCTGAATCTGAGTAGCAGACCGGGTCTCTGACCTCCTGAATCTGAGTAGCAGACCGGGCCTCTGACCTCCTGACCTCTAGTCTACCTTTCAGTGGTTACACTTTAGGGTCACTTTCTGCTGAGAGAGCGATCACATTCCTTCCAGGGAATTATTGGGTGGATGTGATATATTTGGGGGGAGGGGCGTTCTCCTTCTGGGCTGGTAGATGGCATCACTGATGTTCTCTCTGACCTCATAGGGGTCCAGACACCTTGCCAGGAAGTCACTCTCTACAGTGGGCACCAAAACCAAGACTGTCTCCCGGGGGTGAAGGTTCTGAAGACCGGTTATAACCTCTGACCTGAACCTCGCGGGGACGCTCCATATGCTCCTAAACTATTGTCCTGTCTGCCGCCGATCTATCCTCCATCTGTGTTGTAAAGTTCCGACTCTCGTTCCCGTGTTTCCCGAGCTAGGTCCAGGAGTCCACGGGGGACGTCTACCACGCAAAAGATCAAATGGGGAAAACCGTGTGGAGGATCCCAAGGATTACGGATGGTCTGGGAAGTCCCGGTCTTTTCTAGTCTTATCCACCACTTTTCTTGTAGCGTGTCTCCTGGGTTCTACTGAACCGTTCGAGGAGCCCATCACTATGGTGGTGGTGATGCATTGAGATGCATAGGTGAGTAATTGTCATCACCTGACACGGCTCTTTGGGTATCGTTGACATAAAAGGGACTCCTCGGTCTTTCAAAATTACCCTAAAAATACCAGAACGTGAGGAACATCTCTTCAGCTATAACCTTAGGAGGACAAGTTTCTGGCAGATATTGCTTCTGGATACCGGGTGGCATAGTCAAGGACTACTAATATGTGCAGATGCCCCCTGAGGTATCGCCCTCGTATCACCTGAGTGTAAATTGCGCCTCGTATGTTGTATTTCAGGTTTTAGTCTCTTTTTCACATTCTTAAATATCACAAAACTATCAAACTTTTGTATCTTTAGGTTTCCTTGTCTGGATGTGATGTGTAATCTGTGTGTGTGTCCATGGAGGTGACGTCATGGAGGAAGGGACCCCCGAGGACAACACGATGAGACGTAACGTAGTCTGTAGTATTCACATTCAACACTAGGCGGCGATCTTCCGTGGAACGCACAGACAGGAAGTGATGTCACCCACAGGAAGTGATGTATGAGTATTGAAAGGAAGTTCCAGGTTTACCGTCATTTTGGAGGAAGTAGAGAGGAGACATTGCTGGAACTGGAGGTAATTAGACATGATCATGTCCGTTATACTTTATAGACCGGATACATCCTAAATATAGAGCCATTTATCCAACCGTCCATCCAGAGCCGCCATTTATAGACCGGATACATCCTAAATATAGAGCCATTTATCCATCTGTCCATCCAGAGCCGCCATTTATAGACCAGATACATCCTAAATATAGAACTATTTATCCAACCGTCCATCCAGAACCGCCATTTATAGACCAGATACATCCTAAATATAGAGCCATTTATCCGACTGTCCCTCCAGAGCCACCATTTATAGACCGGATACATCCTAAATATAGAACCATTTATCCAACTGTCCATCCAGAGCCGCCATTTATAGACCGGATACATCCTAAGTATATTCTATGAGATGACGTTCACCGATGTGATTTCTGGTTCCCTTTCACAGATCCGTTCCGTCATCTTTGGGGTGAAGAAATGAAAGACTTCAAAGAAGAAGAGACGTTGAGTCATTGTGTGTCTCCTACAGATGGATCCAGTAAGAGGAACCCACCAGAGAGATGTCCCCGCCCCCTGTATTCCCGGGATCCCACACAGGAAGATCACAACTATGCCCGACGTGATCAGGTCGGTGGGACTCGACATCTGGAACAGTTCATTCTTCGGTGTTATGAGATGAATTTCGTGTCTCGTAGTCTAATAATGTTCTTCCGTAATATTTTGTGATGGAAGGGTGAGGATCGGGGGAATATGAAAGCCGAGAGTAAAGCAGAAGAAGAAGAAGAGGAGGAGATCGACGTGAGGGGTGGTCAGCAGCCATTGGAGGAGGCCGGGATGATGACAGGAAAAGAGGAGGAGTCTTCTCCGGATATCACCAAAGGTGAGTGTGAATGTTATATAGACAACCGACTCACATTCTGCTCGGCTGCTTCCTAGTAGACGTCCTACAACACATCTCAGTAGAAGGATGTAGGTTGTCTCTGGTCACATTCTTCTGAAATGCTGAAGATCATTTGGATTATTTTGGAGAACCTCAAACAACCCCCATAACTGTTCCCTACAGATGGATCCAGTAAGAGGAACCCACCAGAGAGATGTCCCCGTCCTCTGTATTCCCGGGATCCCACCCAGGAAGATCTCACCCTCCCCCACCATGGCCAGGTAGGTGGGACTCGGCGTGTAGATATAAAGATGTATTCTGAGCTATGAGGAGACGTTCCCCGATGTAATCTCTTCCCGGTCACATATCTGTTCCGTCATCTTCGGGGTTTAGGATGAAGATCTGGAAGACATCAGAGTTGAGGTAAAAGTAGAAGAAGAAGAGACGTTGGTGGGAGGAGCTCAGCAGTCTATGGAGGAGGGGGAGGTGATGGTGAAGAGTGAACAGGAGGAATCTTCTCTACATACGGACACAAGTAAGTCATAAACACAACATCATGTGACCAACAAATGAGGAGGAGATACTGTACACCATATGAAGGTCCATCTCCATTCCTCAATATAACGTCATGTGACCAACAAATGAGGAGGAGATACTGTACACCATATGAAGGTCCATCTCCATTCCTCAATATAACGTCATGTGACCAACAAATGAGGAGGAGATACTGTACACCATATGAAGGTCCATCTCCATTCCTCAATATAACGTCATGTGACCAACAAATGAGGAGGAGATACTGTACACCATATGAAGGTCCATCTCCATTCCTCAATATAACGTCATGTGACCAACAAATGAGGAGGAGATACTGTACACCATATGAAGGTCCATCTCCATTCCTCAATATAACGTCATGTGACCAACAAATGAGGAGGAGATACTG